CTGAAATCTTGTTTTTATACATTTTTCTATTCTGAACACTCTACTGCTTCTTAGTCTAGTTACTATACGTTCAGTCTTCATTAGTCCTTAATACATAATGTAGCAAAGGATCTGCGATACACAATTGCTTTACAATGAAAGAGGTTAACGTACCACATTTTATATTAATTTTCACGATGAAACAAAGAAAGTGTTATGTTTCTTGTTAATTACAACCACCGCCCGTCCGTGATAGTGCCTAATTAAATTCCTTCCAAACTTTTATAACCATGCCCTTTACATTCGGTTATGTATGTTTTAATCTACCATCAGAGGCAATTAAGCGTTACAGAAATTAGTTTTCTATTCGGAAAATCTCTCTAAACTTAGCAGGGTTTCGCTTCGGTTCTTAAATTTCAACAAAGCGTTAATAACCATAAGTACGTTTAAAAAAAGAAAAAAAAATGTATAGATAATATTATAATATTATTTCTTGAACATTCACACGAACGTACCCTACGTTTTATTACAACGAAAACAGAACATTTCCTCTATTATTTATTTCTTTGAATACATATTAGCCCTTATTTAAATAGATCCAAATATACATATAGCATGTAGTATTAAAGTATTGACAGATCACTGCCAGTCACATATTATTATATAGTTAGTCTGCCGATTGCCAGAACGCACAGACCTCGCCGTACAACTCGGAACATATGGTTAAATTTTGAAGCCTAACATCAAATATCGGTTATCTTACGGCCATCTGGTGTAGTGGTAAGTGACATAGTCACTACACAAGGGGATCGCGGCTTCGAATCCCGCCAAGGGAAGATATTTGTATGATAAATATAAAATGTATTTTCCAGGGTTATGGATGTATATTAAATATATGTTATGCGTATAATAAAAATCTTACATTTATTTCCGTTATCTGGTACATGTAATACAAGGTCTTTACGAACTTAGCACGCAGTTAACGTGGCGTGATTGTTAGTAAATATTTATTTATTAATTATTTATTTATATTAAGTATCAAACTAGACAAAATGACTGCTTCGTGACAGAAACAAATAGAATAGTCGTACGTACGGTTCAGATGTTATTTTAATTTAGATTTCGTAACTTAAAATCACAATGAAAGCTTGCTTGATTTCAATGCCATTGTTACATGTTACCGAACATATTTTTATGTTCTCTCCAGTAATGAATCATTAAACGAGCAAAAGGAAGCCAGCAGCGGTTGTCTGGGAATAAAATATGACCGAATGCGGCACGCAACAAAAACGCTGCTTATTTTTGTTGCTGAACAAAGAAATACCAGTCTTTATGAAATTATTTAAAGATTTTTGTGTTAGACATTTAATATTTATTAGATCCTTAATTATTTACCTTTACATAGTTCAGAATTTAAGAAATTGGTCTACATGGGTGGATCAACATCACGCATTTTTCCGAATCAAAGTGCACACAATCAGAACTATCTACATACAGGATCTAATGAGGATCAACCATTATCGCGGAAGGACAACTGGTTCCCAAAGTTGATCGATTCAAACATCTTTGATCAATATTAGATGCCGACATAGACATTAATGTATATATGATTAACTAAAAATCACGGTTCAACTGTTATTACTGTTAAAAAAACAAAATATTTGTGATAAAACAAAAAAAAAAGCCCGCTGAGTTTGTTTCGCCGGTTCTTCTCAGGACTGCGGCTTTTTTTGAACCGGTGGTAGAGTTAACATTGCTATTTGTATTTTGACATTCAACAAGTGTGTCATACTGACATCTAAGTTGAGATAAATGATTTTGAATTTGAATTTGAATTAGTTGGTTACCGAAGCCAAAATCATATAACGAGGAACACAGGAGCTCCAAAGTTACAGTTGATTAATATGCCCAATTCAATTAGCCGTGCGCTTCGACAGTATCAGAAACTTCACACAAAAGTTTATAAACAAAACGGATTAAATGAAACACTAATTCAAATCTATATCATAATTACTTAAGGTAGACGTTAACAGTTTTGAATAAGCCATAGATTTATCAATATCTCATACCCTAAGAAATTTATTACATACATATATTATTATATTTTTATTTTTCCATAGTCAGCCTAATTTGGTGATAAAACTCGCATATTTATTTTTGAGAACAAACAGCAAACTAATCTTAATACAATCAATGAAATTGTTGAGAAGAACCTCAATCGACCATTTATAACAGTGTAATAACAACGGTTTGTCACGAATATTATTAACAGCGCGGCTGCGTGTTAAAAAAAAAACTTGCTATTATAGAAATTTGTTCATTGTAACAGTTAAATGATGATCATTGTTAGACTTGTCCACTGCTGGGCGTGGTATATCTCTCCCAATGTCTGTCATTAATCCACAGTTTGTCGGCCACCGCTTGTATATTGTGGCCCCACCTGGACCCAAGCTAACTTTGTCGGTTCAAAGTCTCCACTCTAGAACTCGTATGCTGAAATTTTTATGAAATACAATTTTGGTTTTCATAAAGATTAACATTTTTTTTAACGAGTACAATCTAGAAGATTTTTTTTCTTCACGGCCTAGTGATAAGAAATGTTTTTTACTGATAACTTTAATAAAATACAATAAGTTTATCAATACGTTGTTATCATAAATTTGCTATTGTATAGAAAAAACATAATAACAGCGATAACACATCCGCTAAAAACAAATGTATATCTGGTCTTTGTTCAATATATTTTTCTATAGAAATTTCTTGAATAATATTAATTACGTTTATTTTGAAACTATCTACTGAAAATGCATACAAAGCGAAATAATAAATAAAAAAACAGGAGAAATTTACACAGAACCTTTTCTTTTTGACAGTCCATGCGTAAATACTTAAACTATCACTTTATCTTTATTTTCTGAAACGATTAAATAAATTAAACAAATAAAAACTTCGAACATTCATTTAAGTCATGATAACGATGTTTAAGGAATCTTTAAAGTCGTCTCAGTCACTGACAATTAACCAAATTTCAAAGCAAAATAAATATAACAAATCGGAGGGCATTGAGTGAAATAAAACATAAAACAATAAAAGTTTTTTGGGTTTACGGGCAACAACGTCGACCTAAATAATTCATATCTTCATAGCTTGTAAGGTATCATCCAGAAATAAGTTCAACGAAGCGTTTCAAGATAAGTTGTGAACATAATAACTTAAAATTTCTTCCACATATTAAGGTATACATATACGTATGCAGCTAGCTATATCACTAAAATTTAAATCATTTAATTGATCAATAAGTACCACTGACGCTTATAAACAAAACGTACTCAGAAACCTAATGAACAATAATTAAACCTCTGGGAATTCTTATTCAGAATATTAAGCGTTTTCCATTTTTCCCAACTCAAACAAGTTACTCTGATAATATTAAATAACTAAAAGATATGTTTTAATCTCAGTATAGATTTTTGGGACATAGATTCGTTGGGACAAAGATATAATAAAAATCGCTGGTAAAAACTGGAAGACAATTGCCAAAAATAAAGACAAATGGAAAAGTCTGGAGGAGGCCTTCACCCTCACATAAGAGGGGTTCTTGCATGCCTGCACGCTAAATTAATATAACCTTTTTTATATCTTTTACCATAATTTTATGAACTTAAACGATCCGACTAATATATTATTATACGACACATATTAAAAATTCTATTTTATTTAGTATGTATCTATTATTATTAATTTATTATTAACAATTTGTATAAGTTTTGTAATGTCACTTTTTTTTTTAAATGCAAGAAATAAAAGGCTTTTTATTTTTATTTATTATTTATAGATTTTTCAGTAATGTATATGAGATGCATTGATTTTAGGTCAGTTACAGTTTCACATTTGAAATAAAAATATCAATGTCTTCGAAGATCACTTTATATTGGTTCATTAAAATGTTGAAATTATTTTTTACTTAGACACTTACTGTTACCTAACACAGCAAAAAAAAATTGAATTTATTTTTAAATGAAAAAAGGGGGCTTGGTGCCTCTTAAATAAGGATACGGTATCTCGTACGACCTCTGACGGCAATATTTTTATGTATGACACGAGTCACACCAGGATGACTCTGAAATGTATTGAAGTATGATCGAATACAATATCGGTGCTGTCCCAGGAGAAAAAATACTAAAACGGAATCTCATGTAACGGTGATCAGATGCTGAATTCAATTGAAAAGGTGCCGAAATTCTTCTTTCAATGAGCTCTGTAAATATTGATACTTACAAAGGTATCCCTTTGTTACTATTCAGCTCTGTTTTTTTTTTCACTTTTCTATACAATAATTACATAAAAGATAACTCAGAAAATAAAATATTTTAATTAGGTAAAATATGTCTTTTTTTTTATTGCTTAGATGAGTGGACGATCTCACAGCCCACCTGGTGTTAAGTGGTTACTGGAGCCCAAAGACATCCACGACAAAAATGCGCCACCTACCTTGAGATACAAGTTCCAAGGTCTCAAGTATAGATACAACGGTTGCCCCACCCTTCAAACTGAAACGCATTACTGCTTCACAGCAGAAATAGGTTGGGTGGTGGTACCTACCCGTGCGGACTCACAAGAGGTCCTACCACCAGTAACCACAAGAGGTACTACCACCAGTCTTGCTTGGGATAAAAAAACTTTGGGATAACTTTATATTAGGAATACCAAACTTAGCAATGTATGTATTTACAATGGTAGCCAGCAATGAATTAATAGTAATTTAAATAAATAAATAAAATAAATAAAAACAATCTGAAATAACCATTTTTTTTTCCTGTTAGTAGGCTACTATTCTAGAAATTAGAGCGAAATAAAATTATTGTATTGTCATCGGTCTTTGATGCGAGACAATTTTTCAAATTAATAGGATATGTTGAAGTCGTTAAATATGATGTTCAAAGATTCCGTTACAAGTAATACATACAAATATAATATACATAACAAACTAATAGAAGCGTGTTCAAAAGAAAACATACAAATTAAACAAAAACTCTTTGCCGCCATCCTTCACGTTCCAAAAATTTGATTTTGATTAGATCTTTAGGTGTAGTCACAAAGGCTTCAGGCTTGAACTCAATCTTAGTAGGTGCACCTTCGGGTAGTTCCAGCCTGAATTTCTTCAAAATCGTTATCAAGCCTGCTATAGACTGCATTTTTGCAAATCTCATCCCTGAAAATAAAAACCATGCTATGAATAATGCAGAGATAAGCATAGCTCTAAAAATAAAGTAGCTAATTGTACCGAATTTTTAATGTTAGCACTTTCACTGCGGCACATATGGGCCCATACCCCACCGCGTTACTGTCAACTGGTGCGGACGAAGAAAACTATGTCCCACTCGCTGGTGCGGGTCGATTATTTCAGGTGTTTGTAAGAGTTCAACACTGACAACTATATAATATAAATTGTAATCGGTATGTTTTCGCACTGTTTTAATATTTTAATCTAGTGCTGGTCGGTCGAGAAAGACCTGCCACGCACTAGTGGAAATACCATTGGGGGCGCATTTCGACCCGCCGCCGAAACAAATGAAAGTTTATGATTTTACTTGCCACAAGGTGTTAATTACATGAATAAGGTTGACGCACGGCAAGTATTTCTTTCGCAAAGTAGCAAAGTTACAAGTAGTATCAACATATTATAAAATATTGGAATAACTCACCAATGCAAATTCGTGGGCCTTCACCAAATGGTAAATAGGTATACGGCTTCACCTTACGTTTTTCTTCACCATAAAATCGCTCCGGTCGATACTCTTCCGGGTTCGGAAAATGTTCAGGATTATGATGCAGATGAAATACCGGTACATGTATACGGTCTCCTTTCTTTAAATGTATTTTATCAAGCAAAACGTAGTCTTCCATCACTTCTCTAGTTATTATACCAAGAACTGGATATAGACGAAGAGTCTCTTCAATGCATGCCTCGAGATAAGGCAATTCCGTGACACAATCGTAGTTGATCTTGTTACCGTGACGCAATAAATAAGCGTCGACCTCATCGCAGGCTTTCTTTAAGGCTCTTTGATTTTTCGCTAGCTCGTGTAAAGTGTAACTCGACGTCATTGCAGAAGTTTCAAAGCCCGCAGCAAAAAATACTAAGCACTGAGCTAAAAGTAAATCGTCATTAACATCAATTGAAAATTTTATTTTATCGCTATTTTTAAAACTTCCTATGCTGTCTCCGGTAATGGCATTGTTATTTTTCCATGTCAAAATTAAGTCAATAAAATCATTTCTGGTCGTTGGCTTGTGTTTTCTTTGAGTAAAAACAGCATTCACCAGTTTTTTGAAAATATCTAATTCAGTAGTTAACGTTTTAAATCCAAGGGCGTAAAATAAAGTGGGCCAAATTGCTCTTACTATCCCTTTAACAAAAACAAACCTCGAAAAGTCTGACAACTGGCTGCCTACTGTTTTAAATGGATTCATTTTATCATTTCCCAATGTGTCAGTATCTACTCCAAAAATACACGATCCGATACATTCTATTGTAAACCTCTGCATCAAAGTTCTTACTTCTAGCTCTTTCGATATTTTCGTTTCGTCTTCCAGTAGATTTTGAAAAGATTTTGAACATTTCTCAATTAGAGTAAACATACTTTTCAGTTTTGCAGTAGAAAAAATTGGAGTTAGGTTTTGTCTCAATATTTTCCATTCGTCTCCATACGTGGCAAATAAGTTGTACGACAAGAGTTCCTTGTGAACATGCTCTGATATTTCTCTTCCATTAAAATAGTAGAAATCTTTGGTTAATATGGTTTTGATGACTTCAGGGTCCTGAGGTATAAGAACCGGTTCTGTTCCAAAAAAAGCTCCAACAACAGGCTCCCCAGGGAACTTCTGACAAATCGCTTGGGCCATCTCACCAAAATTCTTTTTTTGCAGGATTAAGTCACCGTAATTTCCCAAAAGAAGCACTGGTTTTTCGTGAGAAACATTTCTGTTTCTCCAATAACTATACTTTTTGGTCAGTAAATAGTATATCACAAATAAAATAACACAAATATTAATCAGTAAGAACATATTGTACTTATAATGTTAATGCGAAACTGTTTCGTTAATGATATCGTTTCATATTTATATTATTTGATTAATACAATGGTATATGTTATTGATAAAAATTATGTCAAAAACAAAGATAACCTTTTATACTTTACAATTATATAATAGCAAGTCACTTTAATTGGCAAACAGAAACGATAAATAATAATAATCTATGATTTTATTGAGATTGAAAACAAAAAAATGCTTCAAAACTAAATATACAATATTTACTAATGAATATCAATTTGTTTTCCGTATGCGTCATGTTATCAATAAATGGAGGCAGATAATAAATCTTAAAATCAACAAGTATCCGTTTTTTTTTTTTTGGTAAAATTTAAATTATTTGTAAATAAACATCGTATTCATTGTTAAATTATCAGTTATGACCAGTGCGCCATAAGCTGCATAATTCTAAATGAAAAAAATTCGTAGTTGTGGGTATCATATTTATTTCTCTACATATTTTGTATTACTACCATTTTTTTAGTACGAATATATTATGTAAGACTTCATTTTTATTTTTTCTGCCACAGAGAAAGGATATTTCATTATACATATAAATAACCTATTACACGAACGTTCAACTAATACCAAGCGAATAGAAAGTCTCAAAAATTGCAATCTACTTACTTTTTGTAAATTTATCACAGCAATCGCTTCTATTGAACACTCCACTTCCTTTCAATATAACGAGAATAGTTAAGATTGGTGTGAATTAAAAAAACAATCTATACGAGAACGTAGGTTTGGATTTATTATTTGGATTGGTTAGAAATATTTGGATTTAGAATTCAATTTGAAATTCAAATTCTAAATCCAAATATTTCTAAATCAGGCCGGAGTGGTATAGCTCGATGGGGTAAGTAAGAAAGAGAGGACCTCGGTCTTCCTCTTCTTCTCTGGAGGCGCCGGAGTCCGACACAGCCCGATCTGTTACCCCCCTCAACCGGGTATCCGTAAACGGATTCTCCAGCGTTAAAAAAAGGTCCAAATTCAAATACATTGTTATTGTTTTCATTTTTGTTGTGTGGATTGACTCTATATTTAAGCTGTAAAAGCCGTTGTTAAGGATCTCTAAATCCCCCTCCAAACAAGTTTTTATTCTCGCCCACCACCGAGCTTCACTTCATCGAGCGAACGTATATACATCTTTAACGATTACATTATCTACTACACTCATATTGCACTTCATTATTATTTGTTCTTCAGTTTTTATCTTTTAATAAACCTGTAAATACGAGCCAAATCGTTTCATTGAAGAGAACAACAAGACATCCAGCAAGGAACAGCCGTTATTACAAAAAAACTGTTGTGTAAATCATGTTCAACTTACTAGAAACAATTGAAGCAAATTCAAATGAATTTCATCATTGTGTAAAATCAGTTGCACAAATTTCAGCAGTTTGATCAAATAAAAATGAGGGTACTGAACTCCGGAGGACACTTCTGTTTCAATTTCTCGAAAGTGTCGGGTCGAATTGTGTTACCTAAAGTTTATATTCGTACATTCTTGCGGGACTCAACACAGTTTTACGGACATTGTACACTATCCTTGTCAGTCAATTTACAGTAGAGCACAGATTAGATTCTGAAAGTTTAACGGTACCTATTGTTATTCAAACTTTTTCGAATTTCCTGTCTTGTTAAAAATGAAAACGGAAAGTAGTGATTTGATCTCGTTTTCGATTAGCCGGCGTGCTGCATTCTGTGAGATCTACAATTTTATTGAAAGGCTCACAAATAACGAGACGAATCAATGTTTACCTATTACGTATTCTACGAGCGTTTGAAAATGGGGTCGAAGGTAGAATCTCGGAATGAAATGATAGCTTACAAAGTAGGACGACACTAGGAAAAACCTTCACGGACATGTTGACTTCAATTAAAATTTTACAATAAGTGTTTATCATAAAAATTTTGACTCAAAGTTACATTGCTTTAGTATTGGAATGACCATTTGATTGATTTTGTATATTATCTTTTCTCAATCGTTCGATCGTATAATGTTTGTTAGAGAGGGCAGATTTAACGCGTCTCGCATGTCCTGCCATCTCTTCCACCTCGAGGCCAACCTGCTGCACTCATTTATAGACCTGCCACTTTAGTTCTGATTTGGTATTTCCACCGAATTGGCGATCTTATATCGTCCATCCTTCCCCGCACGTTGAGGGTTAATATACTATATATTATATGTTATAATAAAGTATTTTTATCGTACAAATTATCACTGAAGATTATACTGCTTGAGTATTGAAATAACCTACTTTTCGTGTGTGTGTTTTCGTGTTATTTTCATTTTAATAGACGCACTAGAGACCGTTTGATTGATTTTCTGTATTATACATGTTACTGAATCGCGTGACTGGCAACCGACAGTAAAAGCTGATCAGAGAGCTAAACCCCGACCGATATAAGACGGATAAGTTGTTTACAACACGGAACGTTCACGTTTATTGCTGGCGGACGAATGTCTTCATATAAATGTTAACTCGTTTCCTTATCGCACCTGGGGACTGAGTCTACCTTATACTGACGAAATAACCGAAATAACAAGTAAGTACAAACTTGACACAGTTTTGTATTATTTTTTTTCTGTGCTTTTGTACGAGGGCAACTGTTGTTTTGCCGTAAAAACTTGTGGCCAAAAATATGACAGCAAATCCATTGGCTTTTACCCGTAATCTTAAATTTAGGTGAGTGATATAGTACGGATTGCAGTGGAACAGTGTGTTTTTTTACTATGTGTACTAACTCGATTGTGTGAGTGTCCGATTGCGCTGAACTAATTTTAAGTGAAATATATATTTTTTCTAATTGTCTCACAACTTACAGAAAAAATCTATCGCGGATCAGTTCCCAATTAAATATAAATTAATCTTAAGCAATCAATCAAATGTAATCAAATCTTAGTTATACATTTTTTTGTTTTTTTTGTTGTTAATGCACTGTCGATTGCACCTATAATTGAGGTGACATCTGCCATGAACTTTTGTCAATTTGTCAATGTTTTGTATTGATGATCACTTTGTTGGTGATCAAAAAATCAAACCCGCAAAATTATAATTTGCATAATCACTGGTGGTAGGACCTCTTGTGAGTCCGCACGGGTAGGTACCACCGCCCTGCCTATTTTCTGCCGTGAAGCAGTAATGCGTTTCGGTTTGAAGGGTGGGGTAGCCGTTGTAACTATACTGAGACCTTAGAACTTATATCTCAAGGTGGGTGGCGCATTTATATTGTAGATGTCTATGGGCTCCAGTAACTACTTAACACCAGGTGGGCTGTGAGCTCGTCCACCGCATCTAAGCAATAAAAAAAAAAAAAATGGTGCAATTTAATAAATAAATAACTCCAACACCTATTAAAGTTTAATTCTAAACATAAATGGATATATAAATAAACGTTACGCAGTCAAAAGCCTCAGGAATTGTAACAAAAATAATAATATTAATAGACATTGTATAAAACGCTTGTAAAACTAGATCCAGAAAATTAAATATCTTCCACGATAATCTGTAGTCAGAGTCAGTGAGATCGATTGATTGTGAATCCTCGAATATGTAGATATTAAAATTGAATTATACCCAATTACATTAGTTCTAATTTTAATAACATAAAAATAATTAGCCTATTATTAAAAATTTAACAAAACAAAATGAGCACTATTATTGAGACTATTGTTTGAGAATACTCAATTAACGATTTTGGAAAATCAATAATCCCCGCTAGGGCTCCTGTAACTTGCAAAAAGTTTTCTTTCGGCTTAAAACGTTTTTAATGGAAAACAAAACAAGAGTCAATCGGGTTCAATTTATAGCTAGAATATGGTAGTTCCTATACTTCACCTACCGAAGAATTAATGTTATTATAAAACCGCAAAACTCCCGTTAGTAGCGCAGATTTGAATATTATATGCGATAATTTAAAAAGGAGGCTCATCATACTTTTGAAGTTTCGTAATTGGCAAGAGTCGACGCGCCTTGACGAGATATGATAAGTTTTTCCTTTTTTTCAAGATATTGTGTTTGTTATAATCAACGGCGGATCCAGGGGGGGGGTCATGAGGGTCATGACCCCCCCCCTGAGCTAGTTCCAGGACTTGAACTAACATGGACTAATTGAAGAACATCATGATTTATTTATTATCTATTGTTATCAAAATTAAATTATAAGTTCTTAACTTGCCCAGGACTATGTGACCCCCTCCTGGCGCCAAAGCTGAATCCGCCCTTGGTTATAATAAATAGTGATACAATGCGATTGAAATTTGGATGCTATTTTTTTGTCCACGAGGTGTGGTAACTGGACCCTATAGATATAACAAAAGAAACGCCATCGCCAAACCCTGAGACATGGCTCATTTAGCTGCGAAACTAGCATCCACAAACACACAGTTCAGAAATTGTTCAAGTCTATTTAAAATCTGAACAACTTCACAACAATTACATTTTTTCTTTTTTACTCTTTTTTGTGTACATATTTCAAGTACTATATAGAGCAATTATATTTAAAATCGATTCCATGGTGTTTTTGAAGGCTGATAACGAGGACAAGGTTGTGCTTGGGTAATTAGGGCGATACATAATTTTGTATCGTATCTATACATGATGTTATCAATGAAAAATGAATTTGTGTAAATTTTCTTTTTTTTTTAAATGTTATGTTGGAATGAGAACTCCAGAGCCTTATACAAGGTTTTAGGACACCGCTTCTGAAAACGAAGACAGAGATTGTACTAATGACACCTTTGATGATGGGACGGAAAAAAATCGATCCTCATTTATAAAAAAACATATTTTTATAAAGTTTTATTAGCGTTATTTACGCTCTATCATGTTAGTACAGCTAAATAAAACGATAGTTTCATAAAAAATACATTACTTTACTAAAAAATAAAACCAGCCATGAAACACAAAATCAAAAACAGCTGATGCTCGGATCAACGAACGCACGGGCGCGACGCGGTGCAGACTCGC